CTTTTCATCGGCTCCTGTCTGCAGGTCTGGAAGGATTTACCTGAAGGAGAAAAAAATCAGGAAGGAGAACATTTTGACTAAAGATTTCCTTCTGTTCTGTTTACTAACTTGTTTTCCAAAGGTTTTGGTTAAAGAATCAGATGCAGAAAGTTCAGTATCTTCTGTATGATGCAGGAGTTTTCAGGAACCCCTCCTCCTCATTCGTTACCCAGCTTTGATGAAACTCTGTTGGTGTTCAGGACCTGGAGCGGATACTCTCCCTGCCCAAAAGAGACCTTCAGCAGCAGGAGCGCTCCTCTTCCTCTGTGAGGATGGAGCATCTGGACCTGGAGCTGGATGAAGAAGTGGACCACGATGAAGAGGACTCCTTCTTCGACGACCCGCTGCCCAAACCGCAGAAGACTTACGGATGGTGAGAAACACTCGTTTAACGGCCGGAGTAAAAAACAGGCTGGAGGGCGGAGCAGCGGTAGATGTTCAATCAGGTTTTCAGTTGCCGTGGAAACAAGGACCAAACAACAGACATCCTGGTAACAAAATAAAGAGCAAAGAGGCCAGATGCCAGTAAAAACCAACATTTAATCATAATGGAACATTTTTAAATAAAAAAAGCTAACTTTCTAAAATAAAATTTTAGCTAAACTCGCATTTTATTTATTTTTTTCATTTGTATTTTATTGATTTTTTCACAGCATAAATCTTACGAGTCACATAGACTTACTCTCACCTGACAAACTTTAGTCCAAGTTCTCCTTAAATACATGTAATCATAAAGTGACCAACATTCTTGTTAAACAGAGACATAACCGAAGTTCTAAAATAAAAAAAAAATAATAACTGAACATTTAGCATCAAACACGGTGTGTTATTTTATTGTTTTATTTAATCAATTACCTACCCCAATACTTCCACAGAATAACCTTTACCTCCCAACAAGTCTGGTCTGTTTTAAATATTGACTCCAACTCTTGCACGACCAGTGGCTGCTGCAGTTTTCTCCAGGGGGCGCTATAAATTCAAAAAAGACGTTTACCAACATTATAAAAACAAAAAAATAATTGTACAGGTTTACTTTTTGTACGTAAATCTTGCCCTTCTGAGGCTTTGTGAAGGTAAATCTGTGTTGCATGGTCCAATATTGAACCAGTTTATTAATGGAGAAGCTTTTAGTCAGTTTTATACTTTTTAATACATAAAAACACAATTTATTTTCTGAGAATGTGTTAATTTAAGAGCAGCTATGCAAATTAAAAAACACCTATAAAAAGTTGACGATATTCTATTATTTTCCATGTGAATCCCAGATTGTTTGTTCTTCTTTGCCTTTTCTAAAAAGTGCTTTAAATCAGTCCAACATGTCTTTATCCACGCTAGGTCAGATCCTAATGCTTCAAAAATGAAACAGGATAAAGCATTAGCCTTGCTGCATGCAGTTAGCCAAGCCTTGTAGCTAAACCAGGTCCTCGATAAGGACGTTACTGCACAATCTCTCTCTCTCTATCTCTGTCTCAATTAAATGTATTTTATTACAGTTTTTCTTTTTTAATTTCTTTTCTTTATTGCAGATTCAGATTTAATATGACAGATTCAAATCAATTCCCTTTTTCCTGTTCAGATTTTGTTTTTTTATACCTTCAATTTAGTCTTTTTTAGTCAGATTTTGGGGAGTAAAAATAATTAGATAAATGAATTAAAACAAATAAAACTGTAAAAAAGAACAATAAAACAAACCAAAAACAGAGAGATTCTCCTGCTATGTTAAAAGCCAACGAATAAAAATAGGTTTTAAGACGAGCTTTAAAAATTGACAGCGATCCAGCCGAGATTTAGCAAAAACACGAATTGATCTTTTACAGTGTTGCTGTGTAAGAAAAGGTTTGACCTCGGCCAACTGTCAACTGATATATGTCAACAGGAAACCCCAGAATATATGAAAATGATCCGCTTTTAAGGCACTAAAGGATCTTCAGCACCGGGAATGACCATATTTTCTCTGTGCTGGACTCGTGAAGAACCTCATTGTGTTTTTCCCGTTGTAGCCTACTCTCTCCAAATGAGCAAATATGTGGTTTTCCATTTATATCCATAAATCCTCTCCCAGTACTTCTCCAACACCTTAATCAGGGTTCCTGCGGGTCCTTAAAAAGTCCTAAAAGGCATTGAATCCTTCAAAATAAAACTAAGGCCTTAATTGGTATTAAAATGTCTTAAATCTGTCTTTCGTAGGTCTTAATTTTTAAAACATCATAAATAGGATAATTTTTATTACGATTTGTTTTTGTAATCTAAATAAAACATTAAAATTGACTTTTTTTTTTTTATTTAAAAAATTATTGGTTCCTTCCCGATAGCGGAACCAATAAAGCGTTGTTGCGGCCGGGACATTTGGGAGATGCACCATTAACTTTTTGTCTGGAAAATCTGAGCAAGTGTAAATGTAACCAAAATTGTCTCCAGCCAAGAGTTTTCTCCGTGGCTAAAACCAGGGAACATCCATGAGGCTCAGTGG